TTGTATTTGATTTTTTTTTTCTTATCTAATGCATCCATCCTTTCTAAATCAGTCTCACTCGCTTTGAATAGATGTTACCAAGCTTTGACAGTTGTTGCTTATTTCTTCATCCTTATACCATACACTGTTAAAAGTTTCTCGGAAAAATGGTTAAATAACAATTTATTTAATTGTACACTGTGAGAAAGTGTCAAATTTATGACCGACAGTATGGGATTCAAGTCCCAGTATACAATATTTCATCCATTCCCTTCAAAACATGAAAAGTTCCCATTGCCCTGCACTCCCCAATGCGCATTACCTACAAAAACATGCTAGTTATTAACGGTTAAAAAACCGTAAGGGTAAAAAAATGTAACCGTAAACTTTACGGTTTAGTTGGATGGACAGACTGCTGTCAGTTATGTTACCATAATTTTAGAATGTAAATTCTAATAGTGTATTAGAATCAATGAATAGATTAGAGTACGTTTATTCAAAATTTGCTATCCAATTTTAATGAGTTCTTTCCCATCCGTAGAATTAACATCTGGAGAGTTTCCTGGCCACTCTAAATCAAACACTTTATTTTAGGTAAAAAAACTTTTTCATTTTTTGGAATATGTAATGAACCACATCTTGTTTAAAATTAAATCGATGTTCTAGGCTCATATCTTTTGTCCTTTTTTCTGCGCTGCAGGTGCCTGTTCATAATTTTTTTAACATGAATGAGTGGTTCTGCGCAATTATACACGAAGCTCCCCAAAAGTTTTTTTTTACCAAATAATAGAAATATTTAACTCAATTTTTGTAGGAAACATCTTGTTTTACTATAACACCATTTCTTCTCTCATTGATTTCTGCTATAGTTGGCGTCTCATCATCAACTATATGAGTGAGCTTAGGAAAAACTCCCCCAAAATACCAATTTTTCTTTTCCAGTGCGTTAAAAAATGCACAATTTTACACTCGATTTAGTTAATACGATCTGTTCTGTAGCTCATAATTATTAACCCTTCCTTCTCGCTCTCGTGAAAATGATGGGGTGAGTTTTCGCCAGCCATTTCTCGCTCCCGTGATATTGACAGGCTGGAGTGTTCAGTAGTAACGCGCCAATAAGAATAAAACTAATTCATTTCTTTTGCCCGGAAAACATTTTATTTCTCATTTTACACACCAGATAGCAGTACCAGGATATTTTTTAAGGTAATTGTAGATAGTTAGTTTATTTTAAACTAGATTTCAGCACTAATCAAATACGTAATACAAATACAAAAATAGGCTCTTTTATGACCGTCTTCTTGAAAATTAACCGATCGTTAAGGGGTTAAGAGACATAAAATACTATTTTCTTCAACTCCATTTATAATTGAAGTTTTTAATTTTGCATTAACCTAGCATTTGAATAAAAATCAAAGAGATGGGGTGTAATACAGCAAAGTTTACTCATGCTAAAAATATCATTTTATTAACAAAATAATAAAATAATTTCAAACTGTTAAATAGCAATACTTTTATTCCCCAAATAGTAAACTGTGCGAATTGTATAACAGTTTGTTTCAGTAAACGAATAGACGTACCAAAGAATTAGAAAACGTAACAAAGTTATTTATTCAAAATTGCTTTTCAAACAAACGATAAATTCAAATTCTACAATCGAAGGCGAAATTCGATAAAAGATTATTTGTCCTAAGCAGAGCCCAGGAAATAAACAGAAACGTAAGAATGTTTCACCTTAAATAAGGGAATACTATATTTAATCAAAAACACTGAAACGTACATGTTAAATTTAATTAGTGTTAATAAGTAGCAGAAAATACTATAAAGTCAAAATGTAATTTAACTTTGCTCGATGTAAATAAACATGGAATTCAATTATGCACCTACTTTATATACTCTAAGTATGATATAATTCTAAAAGGGTTATTTTATCTGTGCTGAATAGCAACTAAGCATACATCTTTTTCAGTAAGTAAGTAGTAATTGTGTCGAATAAAATTAAAACTATTTAAATTGCCCATAAACAGAAGCATTTAATTTATATTATCAGTTTTAATTTTGATATTCACAATGATGTCAAAAATTAGACGTGTCTTGGGTTTATAAATATACTAAGTTATACTGAAGCCTATTGCATTAATTAGTCATTGAATGTAGGTTAAGCATGAAAAGCTTTCACACTGCTAATAATTGCGGATTAAATTACGGCTCTTTTATTTAAGAAAACTTAAAGTTGTATTTACTGTGAAGTCACTGAATCCTGTGAAATAATTAACCGTTTTATCTGCCTATGTGATAATGGAACAGAAATTTAGAATTTGAAATTAATGAGTAATTAAAGTCCGAATAACATTTTTACTTACATTTCAAATTTACCTTAGTATTTTTGTAGTGCAGTATTTTTTGCTCATAATTTTATTCTGTTCGCATAATATTTTTGTATAAATTTTATAAATTTGATATAATTTGTAAATTTTCCCCAAGCTTGAAATATAATTTGACAAAATTCCAAGTTTTATAAAACGTCTGCAATCGCTATAAACTTTTAAATAAAGAGCATCAAATTCAAAATTTTATTATAAAATTTTACAGAAAAAAACATCAGTTCAGAGCTAAATGTTCCCTTTTTTAAACATAGGTGCCTAAAGATAATTATTTTTAGATTCCGTGTGATGCATTGAGTTATGATGAATGCATTTCATTCATTTGCTTTTATGACAATTAAGTTGTTATTATGATTCAGTTGTTATTATGACAGATAAAATAATAATGTTGAAATAGAAAAGAACGGGGGGGGGGATGANGGGGGGGGGTATGAATGTGTCTAGGTTAAACGTTTGCTGAATTTGGAGGTGGTTTATAACAGAGCGATAATGGCTATTCTCGCTCTGCTATGAGCCTAATTTTTATAAAACGTCTGCAATCGTTATAAATTTTTAAATAAAGGGCATTTCAGGGCAAATTCAGAATTTTGTTATAAAATTTTATAGAAAAAACATCTGTTAAAAGCTAAATGTTCTCTTTTTTTAACATTGGTGCTTAAAGATAATTATTTTTAGATTCCGTGTGATTCATTCAGTTATGTTGAGTGCATTTCATTCAGTTGTTATTATGACATTTAAGATGTTATTATGACAGATAAAATAATAATGTTGAAATAGAAAAGAATGGGGGGGGGTATGAATGTGTCTAGGTTCAACGTTTGCTAAATTTGGAGGTGGCTCATAACAGAGTAAAAATGGCGAAGATTATCGCTGTATTTAGAAAGTCATGCAAGGTATGTATTCATTCAATATTAGTATTTTTCTCGTTTGTTGAAATTGTAAATATTAAAAAAGAAATTCTTTCCAATAATGTCATGGTTTTCAGGGGGTGTTAGACTTTCTCCTGCATTATTTGACAATGATTGAGTTGAAATTGAATATCAAAGGAGAATTTTTTATGTGTCTCCTACAATGATATAGAACGGGTTCTTGCCATTGATAGTTTTTGCTTCCTAATTCTTGTAAATTACATTATTTCCATGACACGTTAGTTACTGAATGAGTTAAAATAGAATGAAAATTTTTTATCAGTCAATTGCACTTATTTACACATTTTGCTTGCACTTAGCACAACAATACACAACGATAAAAGAGAACTTTTATTATTTTCAATATGATTAAGAATTGGAAGATTTAAAGATTAGTCAGTCAGAGCTTGATGAACCAATAGATTTATGTAATTGATAAGAGAAATATTGATGAAAATATTTGTTACTCTGTGCCATTGGAGTAATGCATATCGTTTTTTAAAATAATATTTGGGGAAATGAAGTGTAAAATCAAATGTCAAGAAAAAATTGCGGATAAATCTAAAAAAATGAAACGCCTATTATAAAGTCAAACAAGAAAGTGATATGTGATGAGCCAAAAGAATTGGAAAATTGAAAGTAATTTCCCAAAGATGTCCTGTATTTGTGCTCTTATTGATATATTTTTTAAGGTACTCTAAGAGAATATGCATTAATATCTTGTCAATATATAATAATTTTAAGTTTAACCAAAAGTATGAACCGTTAATATATTTCCATGCACTTCCATGTGGATGCCATTTTGTACCGATAGACGGAGCGTACTGAAATGTATCTAAATAATAGTAGCCATAGCAAAAAAAAAAGAAAGAAAAAAAAAACACTTTTGCTAAACGTTAATGTTCCTAATGTTCCATAAACAGAACATAGTTAATGTTCCAAAAACGGAACACTGTTAAAGACGCAACTATTTTTTCCCCATTTATAATTTTTATTTTTTTAATTTTTTATTTTATTGTCCTTAGATAGTTGTGAACTTCACAAATTCATTCATTTAGTGTCAGTACTATATGCCGTAATTCATTCTGGAATTTTTAACAGTTCTTGACTATATTATGTAATTTGTTTTAAATTAAAAATGGCTCCGTGTGATATGTTTTACCAGATTCAATTTATTATTAGATTCAATTATGTTTTTTTTATTCATTGAATTATTTGCTTACAATTATATTGAGAAATATTCACGTTTGATGCAAATTAAAAAGAGTATTGAAAATAATAAAAGCGAAAGAAAAATATTTATAGTCATCAATCGTCGTAATTATTTGCTGCCTTGCTTGGGCTCCCGTGTGGTATATCGCTCTTAACTTGTATAACAAATAGTAAACCAGATGAAAATCTTATAGCAATTCATAACAAATTTAAAATTTAATTGTATGAACATTATATTTGTAAATATACCTGTATAAAATTTGAAAACTGATTTAAATCAGGTTGAAGAACAAATATTATTGTTCAACAATAATATCGAACGACATGTTGAATACATAAGAAATAGAAAACCAGATGGAAATTTATGTAAGAAATACAACTCCAGGTGAAATATAATGAAACAATTGAAAACAACACAATATCTTATTAGAGCTTAACACTTATAACACTGTAATTTAACACTTATATTTTGAATTGTAAGCTGGGTTATGAAAAAGCTGGAAAAATCATTGTATACCTTTAGGCGAAATGTCAGTGATAGTAAAGAAAACTCCTTGACGAACAACAATCTCGTGAGCGATTATAGCGAATGAATAAACATCACCTTTTTGTGTACCCTCCAGGGGTGGATTATGCATTCTTAGAAGTTCAGGAGCAGTCCATAACTTTCCTATAAATGATTTTAAAAAATAAATTCTCATAATAATTAAAAGATTTTCTTTGGTCTGAAATTGAACTTTATTTAAATATAATAACACAATTAAAACATCAATGCATTCATCTTAATCTTTCTACTCTGCATTTTCTTTCCTTCTTTTCGTTTTCATTTGTGTAAAACCATTTACATAAACTATAAAAAAAACACATTCCGTGAATTGTTTCAGCCAATTAAAGCTTCGTTTCTAGCGCATAGTTTTAAAATTAATTTGCACTAGAGATTTCATTACGATAATAAACGATTTTAATCTTTGGGAACTTATGAGTATAATTATTTCCCTGCCTAAGAGTACACGATTTTCAGCTACAACCAACTTCTTGCCAACGTATTTATGCGAAAGGAAAGTGTGGTATAAAATAAAATAAAATAATATTTTAAAAATGCGTAAATTTCTGTAATTTTCCAGAACATGTTTTTGGAATTACATTTAGAAATTTATGTGTTGTCTTTTTTCATGTTTAATTCAAATGTTTTACAATTTTTTTTATGATCACTGTTCCGTTAACGGTCATATCTCAATGAGCACATCTTTGGTTTTTGTCTGCCAGCATGTAGGGTAAAGCTAGTGTGTCATGCATTAGGAGAAGTTATACCTGGAACTAAATACATAGTATGAGCACTCTCTTTGTAGAGTGAGCAGAGAAATATTAAAGTTCGCAACAATTTCTGAGATGCTATGTTGACATGTCTTGTGTCAACTACCTCCCCACTCCCAAAGCCTGCTGATTTCAGTCATGCGGGTATAATTACTTTAACGAACATATTGCATGAATTACTACCCTGGCACAGCAATATTTATTTTATGCATATGCAATGCTACCAGCTAACTCCCCACACTCGAAGTCAGCAAGTTTCAGACACGTGGGCATACCGAACATTTTGCATGAATTACTACCCTGACACCGCAATATTTATTTTATGCGTATGCTATGCTACCATGCTATGCTATCAGCAACCTCCCCATCAAATTCTTCTAATTTCAGATAAACGGGCATATTTACTTTAATGAACATCATTAATTACTACTCTGAAACCGCAATATTTATTTTATGCGTATGCAATGCTACTACCTAACTCCCCACACTCGAAGTCAGCAAGTTTCAGACGCGTGGGCATAACGAACATTTTGCATGAATTACTACCCTGACACCGCAATATTTATTTTATGCGTATGCTATGCTATCAGCAACCTCCCCATCAAATTCTTCTAATTTCAGATAAACGGGCATATTTACTTTAATGAACATCATGAATTACTACTCTGAAACCGCAATATTTATTTTATGCGTATGCAATGCTACTACCTAACTCCCCACACTCGAAGTCAGCAAGTTTCAGACGCGTGGGCATAACGAACATTTTGCATGAATTACTACCCTGACACCGCAATATTTATTTTATGCGATACTACCATGCGATGCTACCAGCAACCTCCCCATCAAATTCTTCTAATTCCAGACACACAGACATATTTACCTTAATGAACATCATGAATTACTACCCTGTCACCGCAATATTTATTTTTAACGTACGCAATGTCATTATGCCCCAACGGCATATTAGCATGTTGTTAACTCATTACTTTTTGCCTGAATAACTGTCTTTTATATTAAAAGTTTAGAAAATAAGCTTTTGCAATGTTAAAAGCCTATAATTTAACGCGAGTCAAAAGAGCGAAAAAATAAATAAATGCATAAAAAAATGGATATTCCTTATTTTATTTGTAAACTTACGTCTCCAGTGTGCATACGAATCCTCATTTTCATTCTCATCATATATTCTTAGACCATGTAGACCAAAGTCTGTGATTTTTAATACAAATCTGCTATCGACTACACAGTTTGTTGATTTTAAATTGCCATGTGATCGAATCTCACTGCTGTGTAAATAGGCCATTCCCTGAGAAAAGAAATTTAAGCAGTTAGGTATATGTTTTTATAATGAATTTATTGTAAAAATAAATGAATCCAGAACTTACTTTCACTACATCATGCATGAGGCTAAAACGAAACATCCAGTCAAGTTTTATTTCCTCATTTTCCAATATGTCCTACATAGGAAAACATTTTGAAACAAAAGCGATATTTCGGGAAATTGTTAATAAATATAAATTATTAAAATGATACAAAACTTTATACTTGAAAGACTTATGTCAATATAGTGCTTGGCACTGTGTTTTGCTTCTAAATAGGCATCTCACAACATTCTAGATTAATTTCAAAATGACAGTGCTTGACATAATTTAGCACAGATATAAGGCATAATTTAGCATTTTCACAAAGTATTAGACTCAAGGAAACCATGATCTGTTTTTTAAGTACCTTTTTAAATCAAGCTTTCTAGATCGATTAGAAAATGTGATTTATCATTACATTCTATCATGCGTTTCAATTCATCAAAGCTGCAAATATGAAATAAAATTTTAAATTGTATGAATTAAAAAGTTATTAACTTCCTTTTTCATTGTAGTTGGCATCGCTCATTTGCTAATAAATGAAACTCGTTGAAGGAAGAAAAAAAAACATAATTTGGGTAATAAAACTAAAAGATACCTCTATTAAACCATTCATTTGGTAACTCCCCGTTCATATGATTTACCAGAAATTCTGGTTTTCATATTATAACTCTTAAAATACCGCATATTTAGTTAAAAAATGCAAAGGTTAAAAAAACAATAAAGTAAATGTAACCGAATAAATGGTTTTTGTGCTACGATCTAAAGTATCATGATAGAACTGCCAAATTTTACTGCATTTACTGAATTTTATAACTTATTATAAAACTATTTTCATTGCTAATTTTTTCAAATTAACAAGTCTTTTTCTTCGTCCAATCGAGCCAGAAACAAGATAAATTTTACCTTATTCTGATAGTTTTGACCATATTTTTTTCTTCGTGCGCTTAGATATATTTTTATTTTGATAATTTATTTATTCTGTTTAATTTAGTGGAGAGGAATACTTTTAGCTGATTTATGAAGAAATGCCCATGGAAAAATTGATCATAAGAGTTAAGGATTAGGGAAAAACTGGAAAATATGAAAAAAAATATCGGGAATTAAGAAACGATTAAAACAACGAATATTTTTTTCCAAAAAATGAAACAAGGTTTTTACTTCTTAAGATTTATTTAAAATAGATACAATTAAAAGGTATTATGGCAATTTTGGGAGAAAGAATAAACTATTATATGTTAAGGTTCACGTAGCTTTCCTATAACTTTTTTTGTATCTATTATGTTTCTTCTTTCTATAAAAATTTATTTCGCTAAACTATTCCCTTATATCTCACACATATACAAATCACTTTGAATCATTTTGTTAAAGTAATCGTTAAAATTATTATTTTGATGCATTTTAAGTTAATGAAGAGCATAAAGTATTTTTTTTTCCTTTAAACATCACTGTCCATTTATGTCTTTGGGAATCTGTAAAAGAATTTTCAAGATATTAGATTTGCATTTTTGATGCAAAGGATATTTAAGTATTTATCATATTTTTCTACTGTTTTGAATATTTTATTTCAAACACTCTTCCAGTTAAAATAATATAATTCAAGTTTCTAAAACTTTTGAAACTATTTTCATCCAAAGGCTATATGTCCAAGAAAAGCTTTTTGCAGTAAAGGATCAAAAATAAATGTTATTAGAAAATAACAAAACATCAAACATCATCCACTCAAATTAAGCATTTATTCACTGAATTATTAAAAATAGCTTAACATATTCCTATTACGATACTGAAGTTTTCAGTGTACATAGCGTATAATATGCCTCACTGTATTTTATAGTTCCCCAATGACGCACCTGCGGAATTAAATTTATTTGATATGGAAATATGATACTTCGCTCCTTGCACAATAAATTTGCATTATTCTGTAGTTTATTAAAATTTCAACAAAGTTAGTGAAATAACTTTATTAAAATTTTAATATCGTGAAACTATAATGTAGCAATATTAAACTGCATGCGTCGTTCACATTTAGCTGGAATAAATATTAAAGTAGCATAATTCTTTGGGAGATTATTCTCTGCGTTAGACAATGATATTTCAGTCAACATCCAGAATTCATCACAAATAATACATCTTTCAAGAACCTTTTTTGTAGTTCATATAGTAACTATGAATTTAATCTGATAAAATATTTACCTTCATCGGGTAACATTATCAAATATAGAAATTTTTATACTTATATAAATTCAAATAAGTTCGCGCATTACATATTTGCATTAAAAAAAGAACAATAAAAAGGAGTTTTAAGTTAGAAAAAAGTCAAAAATAACAAATTAATATTAATAATAGAAATGACTGTGTACACTGTAAAAATAGCTGAATCAAATTACGGTAAAAAAGAACTAGAACTCAGAACGGCGGAACTATTTACCATAAAATCTATTTTTATAGGAACATGTTACAGAACAAAAATATGATATATCGTAATTTTCACTGTAATAACTACTGTTTTCACAGTAATAATTACTGTAAAATCTTCGAATTACTCTACTAATTAGATGATTAATACTGTTAAAATTACGGTACAATATTTTACAATAAAGATCAATTTTACGGAAAAATGGACCTTACGAATGATATACCCAACGTGCCGGTACTTTATACCTTAATCATCAGAATTTTTTACAGTGCACAAACAAAATGAATTAAGTTTTAGTATTAAAATATTGTAATTCGTCGAGAGATTATTCCTTGCATTAGGCAGTAATATTTTAATTAATATTCAATATTCATTACAAATAATACGATTTGTGCAGCTTTTATACACTGTAAAAAGTCTGGATTAAATTTCGGTAAAAAGTACCGCCACTTTGGGGGCACCATTTTTTCCTTAAAATATTATACCGTAATTTTTACAGTTATATTTATTTAATTGGAGTTATTCAGTGATTTTGCGGTAATTATTACTGTAAAAATTACGGTACATCAGAGTTTTGTTTCTTAACATGTTCTCGTAAAAATAGATTTTACAGTAAAAAGTACTGGGAACTTTTTGCCGATACTTTTTACCGTGATTTGGTTCATTATTTTTGACAGTGTACTTCATGTAATGGTGGTAATATAAGAGTTTGGACACTGTTTATCCTTACTTGAAGGCTTCCTTTCTGGCAGTATTCCGTAATTAGACAGCAATGAGGAGGGTCCACACAGCAACCCACAAATCGCACGATATGTTCATGCTGTAAATCTTTCATCTAATGAGATTGAAATAGTATGAATGATATTAAAACGTAATATGTGATGATATGTTATTCAATAAAATTGAAATGATATTAAAAAAAAGCAATAAAAACTTAAATTAAGAGGTATTTATAAGAAACATTACAAAAGATTTTAAAAGTCTGTTCTCTGAAAATATGGCGTTTTTGATTTCGTTAAAGTATACTTCGTACAACTTCATTAATTATTAAATATAGATGGGACGCTATTTTTCCACCTGTGGTTTGTGCACTGATAATTTTTCAAAATACAAAGGAAAAAAAACATTAAAGGGCATTTTTTACATAAATGAAGATAACATTAAATGTTTGCGTGGTTCCAAGATGAGAGGTCAAATCTGGGGAACTATGCGTGAATATAATATTCCTAGAAAAAAAAAAGTCGTCATAAAGGGTTGACTTATCTGAGAAATAAAAATAAATCACAATCCAAGAAAAAAAAATTATTCTAAATTAAAATATTTTGTATCCATTTAAATTTAATCAGAGAAAAATAAATAAAATGTGGCATTTCATAAACTTCTTTTTGACACGCGTTTCATTAATAATTTATTTTATTACGAAGTAATTAGATATTTTCTGTGTTACAAAGGAACAATATTCTATGTTCTTTCTAATACCTCTTTTCCTTCGGTAACAGCGTCGAATTTATGAATTAAAATCAAATCTATGAAATCTTCAGCTAAGTAAAATTTATTTTGAAGGAATTGAAGTATTTTAAGTTAATTTGAAAGATAATTTGTTTTATTTCCATCTTTTAAACAGAACCACCTACACCACCTACAGCTTAAATTTTTTTTTCTAAATATATGCTAGCATTTCACTAAAAACCTGTCTTGATCTTTTCAAATATATTTTTTTTTCGAAATAATATTACAGGGAAAATTTATCTAAAAACAAATATTTAAACAGTAATGCGGGATATAGTGGAATGTGTGGGATATAGGAACAATAATGTGGGGACAGAAAAAATATAGTATTTTAAATGCGCAATTATATAATTTAGAACTCATTCTTGAATTTTTGAAATTTCTAAACATTAGTTTGGGATTTCATTTTAAATCAGTACTTTCTTCTATTTACGAAGTCTAATAATTAAAGTGCTTTAATAAATGATAATAGATATAATCATTGCTTTCTTACATAAAATCCTTAAAATATGAGAAATATTAATTGTGAAAATAAAATTTTAATCATGATATAATTTAAATTCAATGTTGTACAGTAGTTGATAATCAGTTAATATTTCAATAATAATAATAATTATATACGGAGTGTAACAGAGTTTGGAAATGAACAAATATCTCGAGAAATATACATTGGATGAAAAAAGTAAAACTAGACGCATTCAATATTTTTTAAAGTAATCCAATAATATCGAATTTTCTCCAATTCCTGGGAGTGAGACCACTTAAATTTTGAATATGAAAACCCATTTTTCATTGCAGATTTTATTTGAGTTATAGGTATATGCATTTTGCTTCGCAGTTGCCGATGTAACCGAGAAAATAAAAATAGAGTACAGGCTGATTAAAATGGTGGTATCTGATATCAGTTTAAAAAAGTAAATAAAAAAAATATAAAAAGTTTCGGTAATTTTTTCTAAATAAAAATTTTATTTTTTTTAAACGTTTCAATTTTATGTTCTTAATCTTATAGGTCTTGAGATTCGCCATTTTAAACTTCCATTTAATTTCTCTCGGATACAGCGCTATCTGTGAAGCAAAATGCATAAACCTACAACATAAATAGGGTTATCTTTTTCCTGGAGAATCTGTATCTACAATAAGAAATGAGGGTTCATATTTTAAATTTTTAAGTTGCACATCACAAAAGGTGTCTTAGAGGCTAGGTATGATAGATCGAGTTTAGTATCATTGAATAAAATAAAAAAAAATTCAATGCGTTTCCAAGCATTTTTTTATATACTCCGTATATAATGCAGACATTTGCAAAAATGTATGGAATGTCATTTTTTTTAAATAACAGATATAAATAATACAGTATCCTACAAAATTTAAAAAACATTGAAGATCATGTTTTTAAAATTCTATTACAATCAATTATTAAACGACGTTTTTCTCTATAACATCATCTAGAAAAACAAATGTCATTCAATGGGAGAAACTTTTGCAATCTCCCTTTATACTAGATTTCATTAATTTATTCAAACATAAATTTATTTTATTCTGTCGTACTTACAAAAATTAGCAGAAATATTTTTAAACAATTTCTTTAAACATTATTGCTTAAACAAATTTTCAAACAAAAGCTAGAAACAAAACTTTTTCTGCGTGATTCAAAAATTCCCTAGTCATTTCGCCTAACTATCAACAAAACATTTTGCCAAACTATTCTGTTTACTGAAAACGTAATAACACTTTCTGCGTAATAGCTCATAAAATGTGAAAAGAAGTAAGTAAAACATACATAAAAAGGAGAAAATTTTCAAATCTGGACGTGAGTGAATATGTTTAAATCTTCATTATCAATCGATCGATGTTCTATATATAGGGTATCATGCTATTATCTCAAATCGTTCCACTGCTCATTGAAGCAAAAAATGATATAGAAATGCAACACAGAGAAAGAAGAAATCCCAAAGAGGACTACAGCAATGCAACTTGATACTCAGAAGTTAAATTGATGCCTCTTTTTTGCTCACAATAACGTTTTATCTATTTTACTTTATTTCATTTTTTTCATTAGNTATATATATACAAGCTATAATAATAACAATATATATATACAAACTTAAGTCTATCATAATTTAAAAATTGAATGAAGTTTTCTGCTTATAAATATTCCTATATAATTTCTATGCTTTAGAATATTTAATACGACTAATTTTCAAAATTGAAACTCCATGTTTAATGATCTTAAATTATACATTTGTAAAACATATCCTTTTTTTAAAAATTTTTTTTAAAAATTTTGGGATTATTCAAGCTACTAGCTTTCGAGAATATTTAAGTTATACAGTATAGAGACGAATTACGTTTGGTTTTTATAATCCTAGCCGCTTTCTTTAAAAAAAAATTTAATTAATCGCGTTATCTCCTTTAATTAAAATAGAATTTTCCTACTTAATCTCCTAAAATTATTGTTCGAAAATAGTGAAGGGTGAAGAGAGCGTCTAATGGAATGTTAAATAACGTAAAAAAGAATTATCTGAATATCCTCTGTTAACTTAAAAAGTAATTACAAAAATTATTATACAAGTTTTCTTGAATGCCTAAAAATGATTTTTTAGTTGATGAAATGATACAGTCAAATTAATATTTTCTTAAGATGAAGTTTAATATTAATGTATATTAATGTATCTAAATTTAGTTTGCAAGTTTTCTTTGAAAAAAATTATTATTTATCTAAATTCGACCACTCTCTGCATCACAGTAAATTGGTCGGTGATGGAAATCGCCCATTCATCAGGGTAATACCATCATTGTCATCAGAATGTTATGGAATTTATGCGATTTTTAGCTAGGGATTTTAATTTTACTCAGTGTTCTTTTCTTGTTGTGGAAATGTCACTTCCGTGAGGGTCGGGAAAATCGAATCGATGATTAATATTCAGCGTCATTAAAAATTTTTTTAATGATATCATTATGTGTAAAAACTGATTTACCAATTATGAACGATATATATGTATTAAGTGTTATTAATATGTACTAAATAATTATGAATAAAACTTTTTTAACGTTTTATTTAGATAAACAAGTTTTGTGAAAATGTGCATACTTTCTTTTTTATCCGATTCACCTGACAAGTTTCCGAGCTGTGGCAAAATGCATAAGATAAAAAAAGAAGAAGAAAAAGAAGGAAATTAGCATGAAAAGTAATAAACTTTTGACAACCTCCCTTTGACAAAATATTTGAACCATTTTTTTTTTTCTAGATTGCGGCTGCTCTATTGCTAATTTAAAGGTTAAGGAAAAACAAAGTTTAAGTTTTTTTTTCAGAGAAAGTACTTTTTTTTTGTTTTTATAGAATAAATATCGTTTTCCCAAATTAATTTGAAACTTAAATACTTTCGTCTCGCCAATAAGTACATGCTATAGAACATGAAAATCCGATCAAAAGTTATTAACATTTTCTTTTTTTTTTATTTTGAGCTCTGAACTTCTTTTTTTAATCATTATAATTTTTGACAAAAACACTATGAAATTAACTAAATTTTTATTTTTACTGCATTAAAATACTGTGAAACAACTGGTTTAATGAAAGACTGATTGAGTACATCAATTATTCTTCATTCGAGTCATATATCAACTTATTGCATATTCAGTTATATCAAATCCTATTCGCATTGCCAATCTGCAAATATGCTAGTTATTTTAAAGGAAAGAAACAATACGATTTCAAAATTTGAAAAATAAAATAATTGAAAGAATTCGGCAAATATGTCTGTTCCTATTGCTGTTAAATGAGGCGAAAATAACTTTTCAGAAATTTGAGAACATTTAAAGTTATTATAATATTCTTCATTAATATACATTAATGGATAAGATAGGATTATGATAGTATAAATCTGAATTTTTAAGAAAAAATATCATCGCATGTAATATTTTCTTCATTTGTAGGTAGTTAGCAGTATGCATTTTTAATTTAAAACTATTGACTTACAACTGATTTAAAGCGGGAAAACAAAGTTAGAACTAATGAATGCATGATTCATTGATAAGTATTAACGAATATGAAAGGGTCTATATCTAAATTTTTTAATACTATCATGACATGTTACACAATATTCGACAATATTTATAAATACAATATAAATACAATAAATACAATATAAATACATTATTTTCAACATTGTTAGACAATTTTCTCATAGTTATATTTTTCTTTTAAAAAAGACAAATATGAAATTTAAAATATAAGGTCAAAATATCCCGTTTCAACTAAATATTTGTGTAACAGACTGCTTCCATAAACAATACCATATATCATCTACATGGTATTGCTATTACAAAGATATATGGTATTGCAACACCTGTTACCGTAAACATTACCATATATCATCTATGATTGAAGATGAACTGTTGAATGTTTAAAGATGGATACATGAATAATTATTAAAACAAATATTAGTTTAGATATAAGACATCTTATCTAGCTAGTCAATATTTTACGGCTTCCCTAATGAAAAAAGTTTTGCCCTTGATTTGTCCATAGAGCTCCTCTGTGGTTCCGTGCAAACCCTGCAGAAGATATGGACTGAAACTATTCCTAAATATTTTAATAACAGGATATAAAGAGAGAATTTGATTAATTTCGATACCAAAGTTCATGACATTAGAGATTATGCTTGAGTATTGTATTTTTGTAGTTTAAAAAAGAAAAGAAAAAGCATAATAATTAGTTAAGAATCTTTATTGTGTTTTCAGATGACTTACATGATAAACGCTACTAAAATTTAAAGTTAAGTTTAAATTGCATAATAAGCAGGCATTAAATGAGCTTTTTCTATGTTCTAATGCTAATATTTTGTTATAAATATTGAAAATGTAAAAGATCGAATTTCAAAATATTAAAATCAATTACTTATCAAACAACTTATGTGATAAAAAAAAATTTCCTAAATTTAAAGTAGAACTAAAATTAGATAATGAGCATACATGGAAAATGGATTATTTTTAAATTAACTTTTTAAATTAGTAAATGTTTTACACTGCAAAAAAATTTAATAGACCAAAAATAAATATATAAAAAAGTTATACAATAAAATTATTTGCTACACAATTATTTAATTTAATTTATTAGCTCTATTCTTTTAATTTATATTTTCCTATAAAAGTAAAACTTTTAGACTTGGTTTGTTTAAAAAATTTAAGTTTTTTCTTTTTTTTTGTTATAAAGTGAATTATAACAAATAAGTTAGAGTTGAAAATAAAAATAAAAATTATAAAAAAATAAGTAAAAAACGTTGATAAACGATAATTTTAAAAAATTATTTTCAAGAGAAAATCATATTTTTGTTCATTTTCTTTTTCTCTTCTTTTTCATTCTTTTATCTCTCCCCATCCCCTTCAAAATATATAATAAGAATTAAAAGCATTCAAAATATATAACAAAAAACTTTCACAGTTTTAAATAATAGTTAATGGTGCTGCCATCTTTTGAAATAAGATGAAACCATTTTTCAAAGCTAACTACTGTCATGCTTTTAAAGGAAAAGAACTTTTATTATTGTAATATTTTAAAACAATTTAAAAATTCTATTTCATTTCAAATATCATTTTCCGAATTCTTTAAAAAATTATTAACATTTCTTGTAAATTACCTAAATATATAAATAATTGCATGCGAGCAACGAAATTAAAATAGAACACTTGTTTCTGCGCCATCTATATGCACTAATAAGAAATACTTGCTTTTGATATAAAAACAGCATAATTTCAATACCAAAAAGTTTTGACAAGCAAGTGTAATTTCAATAAAACAATTAGTTAATCCTGTAAATAGTTTTATCTGAGAACATTAAAAACAAAATTTAGTTCCCAGATCAATGCTAAATACTATTATTTATTTTTTTTTAATTTCTATCAATCGATCAATGTTTATTTTATTGAAGGAAAGAAAATTAGATTTTCAAAAACATGCGTAATATTGCAAACCTGAAAACAAGATCTGCATAATAATAAAATGGACAGAGTGTAAACAAAGTTTAAAAAGTAATTTAAAAATAAGTGTTTAAAAACTTGTACTTTCATATTGCCGAAAAACAATGCAGTTTCATATTGCCATCTATCGAAATTTATCTGAAACATTTTAAAATGAATATGTATTTATTTATAAATATCCGCTGTATATATATAAATATCTGCACTATGTAAAATGCGCTTTTAAAAGTAATGTATTTAGAATATTGATTTTAGCTCAAATATTTGTTACTTTTTCGCGATAAAACGAAGGCATTTTCTTTGTATATTTAACACAAAATTCAAAATCACAGTTTCCTTTACTTAATAGTAACATTAAAAATTCCAGAATAAGATTTTTCCTATAAGAATCGAATATTGTTAAGGTTTAATTATTTTTTCCTCTAATGAAAACTAATTAATAGTGATATGATTTTCAGTAAAGTAAAGTTCAGTATTTAAGTAATTGGCTAGAGAACTTTTGATCATGCCGAAGCTATAAAAAGAACAGTAGCCCTGATTTAAATTTTATATTCTGTTCTGTTTATAATTGTATATATAAATTTCTTTGAAAAAAAGCATGTTTTACTCTCCTTCACAGCTTTCTTATAATGCTTTGTGTCACTTTTCATGTGTACACTTTTCTTATGCTATCTTATATAATGGGATTAAAAGGATGATAAATAGCAAAACTACATTATTTGTACTTTGGGTGAGAAAGATAGCTTTTTCTCAAAGAATAAAAAAAAAATATTCGAAAAAAAAATAAGATAAACACAAATTTCAGAATAATTTAAGCTTATATTTCTGAAAAAAGAAAGAAATATAAAAATAATAAAATCAATGCTGAAAATAACGAATTAAAAATTTTACATGTTAAAGTCATTAAAAGTTTTATATTCTTTAATTAAAAATAGCAAATAAATGAATAAAAAAGGCATGAGATAAACAAAAAAATTAAAATAATTTATGCTTAATTTGAAAAAAAACAAAGAAATATAGAAATTGTAAAATCAATACCAATAATATTGAAAAATTTTTGCAACGCGTTAAGAATAAAAGTTTACTATTTAAAAAAAACAAATTCTGATACATTAACGTAGAGACATCTAAAGAAGGAATAAAAGAATACAAAATATTAAATTCTATAATAACAGAACTTTCCTTGTAAAAAACGCACAATGCAGCAGTATTTTCAAAGGAAGAATAATTGAATCAATAAGGAAAAAAGAAAACAATGGAAATAAAAATATGGCCACCGAAGCCGACGTCTTCAGGGGGTACCAGATCCGGAAGCCATAGAACAAAACCTTTTCTATTGAGAGAGCCAGACAAATGTCAAAATTTGCTCCCTCAATACCCCGAAGGTTTTGCAAAAGTCCAGAAAATACATCAAATTAGAAGAGATTTTTCAAACAAAATCTTAAGAAGATAATACAAAAATAAAAATGCAAAAGCTCACAGTAAACTGGTCAAACAGCTTTTAACTGTGAGTTTTTGTATTTTGATATTTGCCTGGCTCTCTCAATTGAAAAGATTTTGTTCTATGGCTTCCGGAGCTGGTACCCCCTGAAGACTTCGGCTTCGGTGGCCATAGTTTTATTTCCATTGTTTTCTTTTTTCTTTATTGCTTCAATCTAAAGAAGGACACATAAATCTTAAAGATTTTATAATTCATTATGTTATCATTTTTAATGCTTTTCCGATGGCTAAGAATAAAAGAAGATCAGGGGGGTAAAACGGCTTTCCTCCATGAAATCTCATTTTGAGAAAAAAAAAAAAAAGTCAAGATCCAAGTTTTTCAAAGCAAGCTTTCGATCGTGTAGTTGTTAAAAAAAATATGCATATACCCGAATCACACAAACATTTATTTACATTCCCTAAAAGTTTCAAAGCAAAATTTTCAAATTTTGATGTTGATAAAAAATGAAATTTAAAAATAGAGTTCAGCGATTTATTCCTCAAAATTCCTCTTTCTCTCTGTATTCCCGTCGTTTTCTTCACCATACTTTCCTATGTCCTTCTTGTCTACGCTTGCACAAGAACCGTTTATTCCCACCACGGTCCATCTTAACCTTGTATTAACTCCTCAGAGGAACCAATTTTTCATGTAATTGATTTGTGACAACTTAGTAATCCTCAAAATACACAAGATTTCGATCAAATCATCATTTATTTAAAAATTTGGAAACAATTCATTCTTCTTTGATATCTTTTGAAAATTCTGTCATCATGTCTTCATTTTCGAAACGACAACATCACAAGCACTATAAAAAGTATAATTTGCCCACAAAAAATTTAAATTTATTTCTTTAATCAAACTAAAAAATTTTAATATGAAAGCTTATTTTTATTTATAGATACATTAGTTAAAATTCTATGTAATTTCCATGTAGCAAGTCAGATCCATCTTATAAAGTTACAAATTTCTAATTGCTCAAAGGAAAACATCTTGAATGATTCCCAGGAAGAAATTATAAAATATTATTTAAATATTAAGATGTTATAAAAGATTATATAAAATATCACTTATGTTATAAAAAAATTCATGCAGCATATTTATTAGCTTATACTTTCCTCCTGCAAATGTTTTAAATTCTTCTGTTCAGTACATAATATTTTGCAAATTATTAAAATCACAATATTTCACAAGCTGAATATATATCAAACAATAAAACAAATAAATAAATAAATAAAATCTGATGAAATGCTACTAAAGAAATATATAAACTGAGTTAAAGTTTTATAAAATGCTTACTTTAAAAGCGACAAAAATAGATTTTTAACTGAATTTCAGATTTCCTTGGATTGATTTTTCTCAAGCTCTACTTTTGTTCGTAAATATAAAAAATAAATATCGAGTAAATGCCCAGTAGAAAAAACCAATATCTTAGAAAAACAGTTTGGAACAAATAATATTAAAATATTTATTTTCCCGAATGCACCAAGATGTATATTTATTTATTTCAAATTCAGAAAATGCTTCTTAAAGTGCATAAAAATTGATGCAAAACAAAATTTATTTTTGTCTATAAATATATTTAAATACTTACTTTTTTGAGCTCAAGTAATAATAATCTTGTTATATCTACTCTTGATTTATTGATGGTCTTAATAGCTACAACCATACCCTTAAAAATAAAATAAATGTAGGAATATTAAAATACTATATATTATACTGAGGAATAAATATTTTTTTTCGATTTCTGTTGTATAAGATCTTTGAACAGATCTTATATACTTTCGTATAGCTGACTTTAAATCTGCAATTCGCTTCTCTATTATTAAAAACATTAAAATTAATTAATAAAAACATTATATAAAACATTAAACATTATATAATTTAATTATTAAAAACATTATATAAAACATTAAACATTATATGATTTAATTATTAATAACATTACATAAAACATTAAACATTATGTAATTTAATTATTAAAAACATTATATAAGCATTTGCAGGTTATTTTTCATCAAAATTTTCTCTATCTTTTTAAAAAGCAAATAAGTGAAAACATAAAGTTTTCTAGTATAAGGGCCTTGAAATTTTGCTTCCTACTACATATGTGTATTGATTTTGTTGTATGTACAATTGGCACAGATATTATCAATGTGCAATATTAAACTTTATCTGAAATATCAAATGTAAACTGTCAAATGTATTTAAATTTGAATTAATGAAAATAGTGCTACAAATCCATTCCGTAAATTCTGCTACCATTCATGTATCATACATACTGTACGTGTTAGCACTAGACATAATGACTACAATTATAAAGTGAAAATAAGAAAAGTGCAGGAACAATAAAATAGAGTTAAAGCATTTATAATGTTTTTATTAAGCATCTATTATTATTTTAATTAGTTATTAGTTAACTATTAGTTTTAGTTAACTAAGTTAACTATGATTGCTGATTGCCTTTGCGGCTGAACGCATTTTCTTTAAAGTAATCGAGAAAAACTTGGGAATATTAAAATAAAATCGGAACATTTGTATTGTTTCCACCAAACCTCAACTAACTATTTTTGTTCATTCTGGACATTGGTTAGAATATATTATTGCGCAAATTAGCTTAGTGCTAATGTATAATTGCGTTTATATACATCTGTCCTACATTTTTTCATATGTAGTATTTTTTCATAGTAATAGTATCATATAATTTTGGGATATTAGTATAGTTGCATATCTTCTTAATTATTTTATATATTTTCATTGATACGATTATTAGAAATCACACACAGCATTACAAGAGAACCTTACCTTCAGTTTGCTGCTGCTCACCGACAAATAAAAAATTGCCTCACTAACATTGATCATGAAGGACATGAAAATGAAAGCCCTGCACTGTCAGGACAACGCATGGTTAACGAAAGGTGAGAACCAAGCTTTTATCATTTAACTGTTTCTAAGTTTATATCATTCCCATATATTCATATGTTACTTCTGATGAGGAACGTCGTGTTTTTTTGGAGGGGCTGGAATCATACTAATCTTTCTCCCATTTCAAGTATGAGACAAAATAAATGTTTTCAAGTATGCATAAATTATTATTAATAACTTTAAAGTTTGTTAAAGCAACTTTCATATAGCACATTTTCAATAAAAATTAAAATGAAGAAAAAAAGATAAACGAAATTAATGGAACCAATCAATAAATCGAAGAATGATTTCTCTAAAACGTCAAAACTAAGTTCAAATAACCAAAAGGAATAAATTTTATGTAACAAAACGACTGCAGAGTTATTTTCTGCTTTTAAAGCTAAAATTATATGAAGCATGAAAATATTTTTAAAAAATTCAAAATGCCTAATAGTAAATCATAATTCATTTCAAGCAGAACGATATATTTTTAAAAGTTGAATGAATATTTTTAACATGTATGTGCATACATTCCTGCTTTAAATTTCCTTAAAAACAGTCTTCATCGAGTTTCCCATAAAATATGTCACTCTTAACGGGCTCTGAGAATTAACTCATAATATTGAGAAGAATCTATTTCTGGGCAAAGTCAATATGTTTGCCTCTTTCTGAAGCTATTTCGAGGCTGGAAAAATATTTGATTTAAATTCGCACTTATTAAAATGGAAAACACAAATGACAACTAAGTGCAACGAATAGTAACTCTTATTTGGGGATATGTATAAAAAGTATTTAATTGCCAATCGAGAAGAGTTTCATACACATATTGATTTTGAGACTAGAAAGTCATCCATAAAATAAGTTTCTACATTTTCGATGCAATCTATATATATAAAAGTGAATGTGTGTCTGTCTGTTTGTCTGTCCTCTATAGACTCCTAAACCATCCGACAGAAAGCTATGAAACTTGGCATACAGATAGTTCAAAGCACGAGGAAGGTTTCTGTAAAAATCATTATTTCATAATGGTAATCAGCACAGTAAGCTACACGGTTACAGGACTTAGGGCCAAAAGCTTTCAAGCACTAGCAAAAGCACTTTCAGGCACAAGCATATTAAGTAACGGGAAGTAGGTTAATCACGTTTCGTCTTCATGAAAATATATATTTATTTAAAGTTATACACACAGATAGGCTTGTAGAAACACGGCTTTATAAGCATTGACAAAATTTCGCACAAACTTATTAATAATTAGTGTTGAAATAATACAAATGAAAAATATCCAATTTGGAATTTTTTGATTTATTAATATAATCGTAAAAATTGTGGACAAAATGTTTCCTTTTAATGTTACTAGAGGGCTCTGTTGTGAGTAGGGAGAAAAGAAACTTTGGAAAAAGCATTTTGATGATGTCACAGTTTAGTAACTTAAGTGGTTTTTGTTCGTGAGTTCAGATTTAAATGTTATATTAATTCTAATGTCAAATACGCCATAATTTTTTGCGCACTATGAAAAATTTTATTTTTTTAATTGGTTAAAAATTTATCGATATTAATCATAAAATTACACTGAATTTTTTTTTTAATTTTTTTTTTTATATAAAATAAATATTTTACCTCTTTTTATACTGTAAAACCAAAAATGTTTCTTTAAAATTTCTAGATATAAATGGAATGAATTTGAATATTATCAATATCACCAAGCTTTCCCAATACTAGTTAAATACTGGTCTCAGTTTTACCATGAATATTTACTAGCCTACAGTGAGTTGGATATGTCTTAAAGAAGAAAAAAACATTATTCCTTTTAAATCAATTTTTTCTAAGATCTCTACATTTTCTTAGACAAATAAATTTCAAAAAAAAATTCTATTCGAATAAGAATTATTCTAGTAAAAAATTCTAATTTTGAAGGCGACACTTTAAGTTTTAATTGCTTCTTTTCTATCTTTTCAGTTATGGTCTAAGAACTGCTTCCTTAGGAGACTATTTTTTTTCTCTTACATTTTACTTACATTATTAATTTTATTCAGTCATTTGTTAATTGGCGGGTGAAAATATTTTTCCATGGGGAACTTAAAAATCTTTTCAATCTGGTTTGAAAGGAAAAGTAGTAGAATCGCATTTAAAACCTTTTTTTTTTTAAATTTTTTATTTAG